GATCAGGTCGGGCATCGCTCTAGCGCAGGCGCGGCGTCGGGACGCTGGGCGGGGCCCGCACCAGGTCCATGCGGGTGCGGCAGAGGCCGCTGTCGTAGGCGGTGGCCACCTCCCAGCGGGCGCCGCGGCGGAACAGCAGGGTTGCGCGCCCCGGGGCGGGGCGGGCGCCGACCGTGCCGTGCAGGCGCATCAGGGCGTCCAGCCAGACCTCCAGTTGGGCGCGGCAGGCGGCCGCGGCGTTGACCCGCGCGGCATGCTCCAGGCCGATCGCGGCCAGCCGGCCCCGGCGCATCAGGAAGTCGATCCGCCAGTCGCGGCCGGCGAAGGGCGCGGGCGCGGCGGCCACCAAACGCAGGTCGTCCGGGTCGCTCGCCAGGTCGGGCGTGTAGGCGTCGGCGATCTCGTAGAAGATCCGCAGTTCGATCTGCGACATCCAGAAGAAGGCCTTGTGGTAGCCGATCAGCCAGGGCCGCGCCGGCTCGCTCACACCCGCAGCCGGCGCGAGCGGCACGGTCCAGCTCGCGGCAAGCAGGGCCAGGGCAAGCAGCGCTCGGTGCGGCACGCTCGTCTCTCCCGCGGGGCGCGTGAGCGCATAATTCTAGATGCCGCTCGCGGTCCGGGCAATCGCCGCCGGGTCAGGCCGTCTGCAGCAGGGCGGCCAGGTCGTCCAGGGTGGCGCTCGGCAGGTCGCTCTCGGCCAGGGTGACCGGCTCCAGGCCGTAGCCCGAGGGCAGCAGGGCGATGGGCAGGCCGGCCGCCCGCGCGGTCTTCAGGTCGGTGCGCGAGTCGCCCACGTAGAGCGCGGTCTGCGGCCGCGCGCCCAGGCGCTCGACCACCGCCAGCAGGGGCTGCGGATGGGGCTTCAGCTCCGGCGTGTCGCCGCCGCCGATCACCGCGTCGAAGAGCGGCGCGATCTCCAGGCGCTGCAGCAGGTGGCGGGTCGGTAGGGCCGGCTTGTTGGTGCACAGCCCGAGCTTCAGCCCCCTGTCGCGCAGCCGTTCCAGGCAGCGCCGCGCCCCGGGGTAGAGCCGGGTGGCGGCCGACAGCTCGCCCTCGTAGATCTCCAGAAAGCGCGTCACCGCCGGCTCGATCTCCGCCGGCGCGACCTCGACCCCGACCCGCGCGAAGGCGCGCGCCAACAGCCTGCGGGCCCCGTCGCCGACCATGCGCTTGGTCGCGGCGAGGCCGACCGGCGGCAGGCCGCGTTCGGCCAGCAGGCGGTCGAGGGCCTCGGCCAGGTCGGCGGCGGAGTCGACCAGCGTGCCGTCGAGATCGAAGACGACGGCCTCCAGCGGCCTGGGCAGCGCCGGCGGCGGCGCGGTGGTGTCGGCGGTCATCGCGAAAGCCTCTGCGAGAGGGTGAGGTGGGCGACCAGCGCCGCCAGGGCGGCCACCCCGGCGAGCGCCAGCACGGCCGTGCGGAAGGCGGCGAGGAAGGCGGTCTGCACCGCCGCGCGGGCCTCGGCCGTCTGCGCGGCGGACAGCTCGGGCGGCAGCGCCAGGCCGGCCAGGTCGCCGGCCCGCGCCAGAATCCGGGCCTGCGTCTCGGCCGGCAGCGCCAGCGCCGACAGCTCCGCCTGCAGCGTCGGCGCGAAGACGCGCAGCGCCAGGGCGCCGACGGCGGCCACCGCCAGCAGGCTGGCGATGCGCGCCGCCGCGTTGCTGATGCCCGAGGCGAGCCCGGCGTAGCGATCCTCGACGGCGTTCATCACCGTGGTGGTGAGCGGCGCGACGCAGGCCGCCATGCCCAGGCCGATCAGCAGCATCGGCGGGAAGAACCCGGTCCAGTAGCTGCCGCCGACCCCCGGCAGGGCGAGCAGCGCGTAGCCGGTGCCGGCGATCAGCGGCCCGGCGGTGAGCAGGCGCCGCGCGCCGAACCGGCCGATCAGGCCGCCGGCGAAGCGCGAGAGCGTGCCGATCAGCAGCGCGAAGGGCAGGAAGGCCGCGCCCGCCGCCGTCGCCGAGTAGCCCTGGACCTGGATCAGGTTGAACGGCAGCAGGAACAGCGCCCCGCCCAGCGCGAAGTAGAGAAACAGCGTCAGCGCGTTGACCCCGGCGAAGTCGCGCTGGCGGAAGAGGTGCAGCGGCATCATGGCGCCGCGCCGTCCGGCCTCGACCGCCAGGAAGGCGAGCAGCCCGGCCACCCCCGCTAGCAGCAGCCCGCCCGAGTCCCAGTGCGCGAGGCCGCGCTCTCCGAACGCGATCAGGCCGTAGGTCAGCAGCCCGAAGGCCAGCACCGCCAGGCCGGCGCCCCAGGCGTCGAGCCGCCGGGGCGAGGCCGGGTCGCGACTTTCGGGCACGAAGCGCCAGGCCAGGCCCAGCACCACCAGGCAGAGCGGCAGGTTGATCAGGAAGATCGCCCGCCAGGAGAGGTGGTCGATCATCCAGCCGCCGAGCAGCGGGCCGGCCGCGGTGGTGATCGCCGCAGCCCCGGCCCAGGTGCCGAAGGCGCGGCCGCGCTCGGCGCGCGGAAAGGCGGCGCTCAGGATCGCCAGGCTGGCCGGGGTCAGCAGCGCGCCGCCCAATCCCTGCAGCACGCGGGCGGCGACCAGCGCACCGGCGCTCGGCGCCAGCGCGCAGGCCAGCGAGGCCAGTGCGAAGAGGCCGACGCCGAGGCTGAACAGCCACCGGCGCCCGTAGCGGTCGCCCAGCGCGCCGCCGGTCAGTACCAGCGCGCCCATCATCAGGGTGTAGCCGGTCAGCGTCCACTGGAGCTGCGCCATCGGCGCGCCGAACTCGGCCTGCACCGCGGGCAGCGCGACCACCACCACGGCGGAGTCGATGAAGGCCATGGCCGAGGCCAGGATGGTCGCCGCCAGCACGAAGGGCCGCGCCCGCGGCGCGCAGGGCACGGGGGCCGCCACGCTGGACGGTAGCGCACTGCGCTCGGCGGCACCCGCGGCCGCGCCGGCGGCGGCCCGGGGACGGAGATCGGTCATGCGGCCTCGTGACGTCGAAGGACGGGCGGTGCGTTCGCGACTTTGCCACAGCGGACCGCTACAGGGCAGGGCGTATGGCAGGTGCAGGGCAGGGCGCGGTGGCCGAACGCGGCGGCGCGGGCCTCCTGCGCGCCGCCGTCAGCCGGCGGCGGGCGAGGGCGCTGCGCGGGCCGGCCCGCCGCTCTCCTCGACCGCCATGTTGGCGATCACCACCTCGGCCTTGTGCGCCAGGTGGCGGCGCAGGATCTCGCCCAGGCGCGGGCCGTCGCGTGCGGTCAGGGCATCGAGGATCTCCTCGTGCTCCTCGACCGCCTGGCGCCAGCGCTGCGCGCTCATGTTCGCCATGTAGCGTGCGCGGCGGACCCGCCCGGCGAGGCTGCGGTGCTGGGTCACCAGGATCGCGTTGCCGGCGGCCTCAAGGATGCGCTCGTGGATCTGCTGGTTGAGGCGGAAGTAGTCGGCCAGCTCGCCGCGGTGATAGTGGGCGACCATCTGGTGGTGCAGGGCGGTGATCTCGGCGATGCCGGCGGCGTCGATCCGCGCGCAGGCCAGCTCCCCGGCCAGCGCTTCCAGCGCCCCCATGACCGGGAAGGTCTCCTCGATGTCGGCGCGGCAGATTTGCACCACCGTGGCGCCGCGATGGGGCGAGATCTCGATCAGCCCGTCGGCGGCCAGCACCTTCAGCGCTTCGCGCAGCGGCGTGCGCGACACTCCGAACTGGGCGCAGAGCTCCTTTTCCGGCAGGCGGCTGCCCGGCGGCAGGTCGCCCTCGACGATCAGGTCGCGCAGCCGCGTCACCAACTCGTCGTGCAGCGAGCGCCGGGCGATGGGCGCCACGTTGTGAAACTCGGTCGCGGGGTCGCTCATGTCTCCATGGCCTCGCTCAGATCCATGGCCTCGTCCAGAACGAGGGCGACGTGGCGTGCCCGCCGTCCGGTGCCGTCGACGATCTGGTGGCGGCAGGAGGTGCCGTCGGCCACCAGAATCGAGTCGGGGGCCGCCGCCCGCACCGCGGGCAGCAGGGAAAGTTCCCCCATGGCGCGCGAGGAGTCCAGGGTTTCAACCTGATAGCCGAAGCTGCCGGCCATGCCGCAGCAGGAGGACTCGATCGTCTCCACCTCCAGGCCCGGGATCAGCCGCAGCACCGTCTCGACCGGTTTGAGGGCGCCGAAGGCCTTCTGGTGGCAGTGACCGTGCAGCAACGCGGTGCCCTCCAGTGGCCGCAGCTTCGGGGCGAAGCGTCCGGCCTCGGCCTCGCGGGCCAGGAACTCCTCCAGCAGCAGCGCCCGGTCGGCCAGCGCCCGGGCGTCGGCGCCGGGCAGCAGGGCGAGGAACTCGTCGCGCAGGGTCAGCAGGCAGGAGGGCTCGAGCCCCACCACCGGCATGCCCTGGCGCACCAGCGGCAGCAGCGCGGCGAGGGTGCGCGCGGCCTCGCCGCGCGCTTCCTCGACCAGGCCGGCGGCCAGGAAGGTGCGCCCGCAGCACAGCGGGCGGGCCGGCCGCTCCCGCGCGCGGGGCAGGTGGACGCGGTAGCCGGCGGCGGTCAGCACGCGTAGGGCGGCGCGCGCGTTCTCCGGCTCGAAATGGCGGTTGAAGGTGTCGGCGAAGAGCGCCACCGGCCTGCCGTCCTCCGGCCCGACGGCGCTGGCGGCGGGGTAGAAGGCGTCGGCGCGCCAGACCGGCAGGTCCCGCGCGGCCGCCAGCCCCAGCCAGCGCTCGCCGAGGCGGCGCAGCAGGCCGACCCGGTTGCGCAGGTTGGCGAAGCCGGCGAGCCGGCGCAGCCGCGGCGCGTAGCGCGGCAGGTAGGCGATCAGCCGTTCGCGCAGCGGCAGGCCGTGGCGCCGGACGCGCTGGTGCAGCACCTCGATCTTCATCCGCGCCATGTCGACGCCGGTCGGGCACTCGCGC